CAGGAACTTAGGTGATAGAAATATACAAATTATAACCCATTTGAAATAATAATAATAATAATAATAATAATAATAATAATAATAATAATAATAATAATAATAATAATAATAATAATAATAATAATAATAATAATAATAATAATAATAATAATAATAATAATAATAATAATAATAATAATAATAATAATAATAATAATAATAATAATAATAAAAAACGTTTGTAATTATGAAGGTTATTATAATTATTTTGTTATTATTGGTGTTATTGTTGTTGTAGTCTTCGTTATTATTATTATTATTATCTTCAATACAAAATCAAATAACTTTCACCAACGTAAAAATATATAATTACATTAAATACTTCCGCCAACATTAATGACTCTCTCCCTATTAAAAAATAATATCTCAATAATAAAAAATAAATTTCACAATAATTACGTAGAATAAACTCTTCATTGATTACATGACGTGAGGGTCTGGCGCCGTTACTCCTGGGAGAAAAAAGAACTGACGTGTACTCCTACGCTGTCAACACTGGGGAAAGAATGTGTAGCTTGGTAGGAGGCAGGTGAGAGGGAGAGGTGGGAGGGAAGGATGTGGGGGGGGGAGGGAGGGAAGGATTAAAGGAGGGATGTAAGGGGGAGAGTTGGGAGGGAAGCAGGGAAGAAGAGAGAGAGAGAGAATGACTATTAACATCATACATATGAGTCAGTCTGGTCATTCACTGTTTCTTGTCTGAACTATTTCCAGCATCGCCACCGGCCTATCCGGCTTTCACATTCCTCGTCTCCGATATATATAGCAGCTACTACTACTACTACTACTACTACTACTACTACTACTACTACTACTACTAATAATAATAATAATAATAATAATAATAATAATAAACACCTCACTTAAGCTAAAAGACACAGACAGACAGACAGACAGACAGACAGACAGACAGACAGACACTCAGACAGACAGGTTCTCAAAATGACATCCACTACATATCCCACCTCATTGAATATACATAATAAAACATCTAACCTATGACACAAAATGGCGCCATTATCGCCCAGAGACTCTACCACAATAGATAAAATGGTCTATGACTTCTGGTAGAGTCTTAGTGTAAGTCAGTCGCCATATTGGATATAAAATTTCTGTATTGTTCTTTGGGGGGAGGAACTTAAGTAGCGTCTTTCTTTCTTTTTTCTCTCTCTCTCTCTCTCTCTCTCTCTCTCTCTCTCTCTCTCTCTCTCTCTCTCTCTCTCTCTCTCTCTCTCTCTCTCTCTCTCTCTCTCTCTCTTTCTTTTTTTCTTCCTCCTAATTTATTTTTCTTCTCTTACTTTAGTTTCTTCGTTATTCTTGTCTTCCTCTTCCTTCTTCGTTGAATTCATTATTTCATTCTCTTCTTTACTTCTTTCTTATCTCATTTTTCTTCTTATCATCTTATTTCTTCATTATTTCCATCTTTCTCTTCTCTTTTCATTTCTACACATCTTCTCTCTTTATCTTCTCCTTCCTCATATCTCCTCTTGTCTTCTACTCCTTAATTACCTTTTCTTCTTGTTTCCCAATCCTTCTAATTCTCCTTTTCCTCTTTCTCTTATTCTTCTTCGTTATTTCTGTCTGTCATCTTTACTAGGCGCCAATTGGTCGACACGTTTCAGTCATCACTCTGTCTCCACCAATGACGAGGCAGAGGTGGGGTGACGGTAGTGGTTTACGTCTGCCTGTAATGGTGGCTTCATTATTCCCTATTATCGCCACTGACTTGACTCCCCCAATCTGTAATGGGTGGTGATTGTGGTAGTTGGTGGTTATTGTGGTGGTGGTTGGTTGGTTGGTTGGTTGGTTGATGGTTGTAGTGGTGGTAGGTGGTGGTGGTGGTGTAGTGGTGGTAGTTGGTGGTTATTGTGGTGGTTGGTTGGTTGGTTGATGGTTGTAGTGGTGGTAGGTGGTGGTGGTGGTGGTGTAGTGGTGGTAGTTGGTGGTTATTGTGGTGGTTGGTTGGTTGGTTGATGGTTGCAGTGGTGGTAAGTGGTGGTGGTTGATGGTCGTGGTGGTGGTTATTGTGGTGATAGTGGTAATATTTATAGTGGTAATATTTATAGTGATGGTAATGGTGATGGTGATAGTGATGATGGTGTTTGATGGTGAGGATAATGGTGATGGTATTAGTGATGGTGATAAATAAAGGAGTGGAGTATTACTAAGGATAACATAACATAAATATAACATAACATAACATAACATAACATAGTATAACATAACATAACATAATATAACATAAACATAACATAATATAACATAACATAACATAAATATAACATAAATATAACATAAACATAACATAAATATAACATAACATAACATAACATAACATAGTATAACATAACATAACATAATATAACATAAACATAACATAATATAACATAACATAACATAGTAAACTGCACTTGAGTTAGGTACCAAATCACCTTTAGAAAATTAATGTTATTTTTCAATTGTTTTTTTTAGATTAACAGCCCTGACCTTTGACCTATTTGCCCCCATAATGTAACACCTTTGCGACAGTTACAGTGTGAATAATAGATGTACCAAGGTTGAACACTCTCATAACACACACACACACACACACACACACACACACACACACACACACACACACACACACACACACACACACACACACACACACACACACACACACACACACACACCTAATCAATACACCAGCTCAACAAACACCTAAAAACCAACGAATCACCACAAAAAACTATCATAAACGAAATTAAATTACCCCAAACACCCCCATAATTCGGTTAAAACCCCCATAATTCGGAAAACACCCCTATAATTCGGAAAACACCCCCCCGTAATTCGCACAAGTACCTATAATTCGCAAAAAAACACCTGTAATTCCCCCAACAAAACACACCCGTAACTCAGAAGGCTTGATACACCTGGCAACTCAACACGTACGCTATACACGTCTGCCGCCTTATTACATTAAATACGGGTTATATCGTCACTGGCGCCTTATCATCCCAGTATAACCAGGTATAACCGACCGCTGGGAATCATCATCCATTGTCATACCTCATGGAACGTCTGATATATGCGTGTGTGTGTGGTTGATATATGCGTGCGTGTGGTAGATATATGCGTGTGTGTGGTAGATATATGCGTGTGTGTGGTAGATATATGCGTATGTGTGGTAGATATATGCGTGTGTGTGTGGTAGATATATGCGTGTGTGTGGTAGATATATGCGTATGTGTGGTAGATATATGCGTATGTGTGGTAGATATATGCGTGTGTGTGGTAGATATATGCGTGTGTGTGGTAGATATATGCGTGTGTGTGGTAGATATATGCGTGTGTGTGGTAGATATATGCGTGTGTGTGGTAGATATATGCGTGTGTGTGGTAGATAATACACGTATAATGATTTGGATAATGTTTTAAGTTATGATAGATCGTAGTTGACAGGAAATGCTTGAAAAGGACAGATCGTAGTTGACAAGGCTAAAAAAAGGACAGATCGTAGTTGACAGGCAAGACTTAAAAATGACAGGTGTTAATTGACAGGTAAGACTTAAAAAAGGACAGGTATTAATTGACAGGTAAGACTTAAAAAAGGACAGGTATTAATTGACAGGTAAGACTTAAAAAAGGACAGGTGTTAATTGACAGGTAAGACTTAAAAAAGGACAGGTATTAATTGACAGGTAAGACTTAAAAAAGGACAGGTGTTAATTGACAGGAAAGACATTAAAAAGTTAAAATCAAGACCAAAAACTTCAGCAGAGATAAAGAAACAGCAACACCGCCTCAACACACCCACGAGCAACCAACAGTGATACAGCGACTCCTACCTGGGCCCTGTACCTGTTACTATGACGGAGGAGACAGGTAGACAGACACGACCTCTTGACAATAGAAACTCCCAAGTACTATGTAATAAGGACCGAGAAAGTAACCTAACCTAACCTAACCTAACCTAACCTAACCAATACTATAATGTAGTTTAGAATCCATCCCATTTATAGGGGATTTGAGAGTCCATGTGTGTGTGTGTGTGTGTGTGTGTGTGTGTGTGTGTGTGTGTGTGTGTGTGTTTCTCGGAGGCCGGTTTAGCTAAGTGGATTACGCAGGTGTGTTGGTCTATCCACTCCATCCACACATCCATCCATCCAACCATCCAAACACACACACACACACACACACACACACACCACGTCAGGACTATGCGCCACAATATATCACTAATGGTACAGAACACCACATCACTGTACTCCAATACTAACTACCGGCCATTAACAAGCAGGTCTAATTACCCTCATTAACAAGCACAGGTGAGGTATATAGGCCCCCGTTGTATTATGATAGTGGGGGTAATTAAGGTAAAAGTGCCTTAATGACGTCTACCTGATACTAACACAGGTAATTATTGTCTCTACAAGATACACCTGAGGAGGGTAAGGAGAGCTGTCTGTCTGTCTGTCTGTCTGTCTGTCTGTCTGTCTGTCTGGCTCTGTCTGTCTGTCTGTCTGTCTGTCTGTCTGTTTGTGAGCGCTATTGTCCTCTGTGCTCTGCAGCTGTTCCCGGATCCCTCTCTCACTCTGTCTCTCCTCTCCTCTCCTTCTCCTCTCTTCTACCCTTTCTCTCATTCCTTCTCTCTCTCTATACCTGTCTTTGTTCGCTCTCTCTCTCATTATCTTTGTATGTCTGTCTCTATTTCTATCTGTCTGTCTCTCTTCGTCTGTCTGTCTGCCTGTCTGTCTGGCAGGTCCCGTTGTAGCTGCAGGGAGAGCGCCTCACTATCACCACCCGCACATTGTTGGAAGATTTGCCACCATCATCACTACTACTACCGTTACCACCACCACCACTATCGTCACTATCATCATCATCATCACCCTAACATTTCACACTATCATCATCATTATCATCATCATCACCATCATCTTCACCACCACCACCATCACTATCGTCACTATCATCATCATCATCATCATCATTATCATCACCCTAACATTACACACTATCATCATCATCATCACCATCATCACCATCATTATCCCCAACACCATCGCCACCATTACCTTTACCCCAAAACTCACACTATCATCGTCACTATCATCACCACTATTATCATCAACCCCACCCCACCCCCACCTAAACACCAGCAAAACCTGAGCAGCAAAAAATTATAATTGAATGGGAACTTTGAGCCAATACTCCCTGCCACTTAATTCCCTGTTGACCCCACTGACCTCATGTGCCACTACCCACAAGGCCACTTAACCTGTCTCCAGATTTCCAACATTACTAAAGACACGAGGTGGATATGGGTGGGAAGGGGTGGGGTCGGTCTTGACAAACGTACGGCAGCCATACATGGGGGGGGGTCGTGTAACAAAAGTTTTCATTACAAAAAGGAAAAAAAAAATTTATATTAAGTGAACATACAAATTATTATTCTTTACACTGTATGACGGGCTGGTCTCTTGCCCTTCTGTGTGAGGTCATGTACTGTATGCCACGTGCGCTGAGGCGTTGAACAGCAAATATGTGGTACAGTAACACGTTCACAGATGTTGCCATGAGGGAATTCACATGACGTAACAATTCGATCATTACGTGGCGTCATGCGGACCGGTGTTACAGTACCTCTCTCTCTCTCATGTGGTGTTGTGGTGCATCAGTTAGGTGTCCAGCTGCCCCTAGACCGTTCCCCATAATTCCCAGCGCCTTACCACATAAATTATAGTCAGCAGGAGTTGTCGGTTCATATGGGCGCTCCTCTCTGGGTATCCTGGCTACGACTCTCAGCTGTTATTGTTTAGTGTTGATACCATGAGCTTTAAACACTGTTCATCACGGATTCCACTCCTTTCTGAAACGAATTTGTGACTTTTGGCGGGATTTTGCTGATATCTCGATGGGGAGGAGGGGTTGAGGGGAGGGCGTTAGGGTATTGGTCAATAGTCCAACCCAGGCAGCCTCTGGGAGTGTGTGTGTGTGTGTGTGTGTGCGTGCCAAATATGTACTATTGTATATTATCTCACACAACCTTACAAAAACAGACAGACGGACAGACAGACATCAACCAGCACTGACGGTGATCTGATCTTTCCCTACAGGAGCCGTGATCTTGGTGAGGTGACCATGATGAACTGCGGCTTCCCTTCACTACTACTGCTGCTGGTGACCTTCTCGACGGTGAGTTGTGCTGAAGTTATTGCTGTTCACCTGTGTGATTACTAATTACCATATTTCACCTGGTATACGGTAGTTGACCAATGGTATACCAGTTCTGTGGGCCACTATACCATCGCTTGTACCCATCACTCTCTTGTCACTATATTTTATTACGACTCCCACCATGGAAGAGAAGGCATCAGTCAATCTATTAATAGCCTTTGCACTCGAACCAACATACCGAAGCCAGTGATGAGTGTATTGGCCACCGCGCCACCGTTACCCGAGAGAGCCTCATAGCTAACAGAAGAGGTCTCGCTATTCTGGGTTCATGTTCGTCTCATGAATACACGATGTGGTCACGGCTCATGTCCCCATCACTATGACACTCGATACATCAAGGTCACTCTGATGGCGTCTAGGTAATGTGGGTTCGAGTCTCGCTTCCTCAATCGGTCAAGTTCAGTTCGGTTGTGCATAAAGAATGTGGGGTCCGCATCTCCGTATCTCCTGGTCTAATGTCATGGAGAAGAAGAGAGAAGATAAGTATGTATAAGTAAGTAAGTATAAGTAAATAAGTAAGTAAGTAAGTTTAAGTAAGTAAGTGATCACCGTCTCAGTACTCAGGGCAAGTCGCTATAATACCATCGACCTACATATACAAAAAGCGTGTGGGAAATATTACAACATTCAACACGTGATGAGACGAGAGAAGAAGGCTCCTAGGCAGAGCACATCCATCCTCCGTGGGGTAAATTTTATATCATCTATTTCTTTGGCTCAAATCATGGCTGTACATCTCCACGCTTCGCCTTGACAGCTAAAACAACTTGAGTGATCACCCTTGTGGTGGTCAGTCAGGTTCCCGCTCTAAGCACCACGAGGGAATCGATGAGAGATGAAGTCTTGGATTTTCTGGTGTTTCCCACGATGTTGAAGGTGTGGGAGGAGGAAGGGCATGGGGGTGAGAGAGGGGGAGGGTAAGAAGGAAGGATAGTGGGAGAGGAATGGGGATAGGAGGAGGGGAGGAATGTTTGGAGGATGGGGGATGGAGGAGGGTTGTTGAGAGGAAGGGAATGGTAGAGGGATGGTGGAATGGAAGGATGCTGAGATGGAATGATGGAAGGATGATGGGATAGAAGATAGATGGAGGGATGGTAGACTGATGAGAGAGAAGACACGTTGACAGCGGTTGTAGGGCGCCTGTTGATAACGCCGTTAAGGTGTTTCTGGCATCCGGCAATATCAGGTTTATAGCCCAAGTAACAGGTGTCTCATTTGCATATCCTGCGCGTGGGAAAATGGCCGTCTCTCTCTCTCTCTCTCTCTCTCTCTCTCTCTCTCTCTCTCTCTCTCTCTCTCTCTCTCTCTCGTATTTCTTTCTCTTTGTATTGTGTTTATTGTCTACCTCCCTTTCTCAATTTTCCCTATCTATAGTTTCTCTTTCTTTATCTATCTCTCTCTTCACCTCGGTTATTTTTCTCTCTCTCTCTCTCTCTCTCTCTCTCTCTCTCATGAGTAAACAAACTTTGGCTTCATTGTGTTTACGAAGCAACTGAAGCCTCGAGTGAACCAGTTGATACTTGGATACACTGTCAAGGAAGGAACACGTTATATTTTTTCTACCTTACTGAACCACTTGAAGCCTTGAAAAAACCTCAGTGAACCAGCATTCTTCACATGAGTAGCCGGTGAACCTCTAAAGTGAACCAACTGGAACCGCAGAGAACCAGCCGATGATCCAAGCCTCTAAGTCGTCAAACAAACCATCTGAATCCTAAAGCTAATCACCTGAACCCAAACAAACCACCTATTACCTCAAACGAATCACTTAATCCTCAAATAAACCATCCGAATCCTTAAGCGAACCGCCAGAATCATCAAACGAAACACCTGAACCCTCAAACGAAACACCTGAACCCTCGAACGAACCATTTGAAGCCTCACAGGAGCCCCCCCATGAACCCAGGAGGTTGTGGATGGGGCTTAAAGCATGTGTTATGGTTCGTTTGTTCGGGATAATGAACCTTTACTACCCCGGTAATTGCCCCCTCATTAAGACAAGCATTCCAGGGTCAATTAAGGTATTTAAGCTAATGATTTCATCACCACACTCTTGACATTTATGTTCACGAAAGACGAATAATTTTCTTTAATGTATTTATTTTTTTTATAAGTTTCAAAGTTCAATTTTCCTTAATAATAATAATAATAATAATAATAATAATAATAATAATAATAATAATAATAATAGTAATAATAAATTGACCCCTTTTCCTAAATATGAATTGAAAATCAAAATTACCACCTAATTAAACTAGAAAAATTATTGAAATATTTTAAAAGAAAATCCTTCGACTCCATTTCTGAACCGATTCTAATTTACAGTGTTGACGTCTGCAGTTATCCAGTGCTGAATGGCGTGTGTGGATTTTTAAGCGCGAAAAAACATGATTTATCTGAGTGTTAAGTGAGACCACCATGATTTATTTGAAGTTTGAGGATGACATGATATATTTAGGGGTCTATGGATAACATGATTTACTGTATATGAGACTAATGTGAGAATAACATGATTTATTTCCTGTTTGGGGGGGAAGTTGACAAGATGTATTTGGAGTGTTAGTAAGGAGACATGGTATATCTAGAGTTTAAGAGAAAAGAAATTTTTTAATTTTTTTTGGTGTGATTTGTGGGGAACAGGTAAGTGGTAGGTTAGGTTAGGTTAGGTTAGGGGCGTCCATTAGCGTTCACTTAACCCCTCCAGCGTTCACTTAACCCCTCCAGCGTTCACTTAACCCCTCCGGCGTTCACTTAACCCCTCCAGCGTTCACTCAACCCTTCCAACGTTTAGAAAAGCTTACTCCATTGACACCTAACCTCCACCTTGACCCAGCTTAAGCTTTCAGTGCCTAAATCAGCATAATCAGGGGGGGGTGGGGGTAATGACTTGCTCTAAGTGATAGCTGGCTGGCACTAACGACACCCCGCTTGTTAGGGATGTTTAGACTAAGTTAGATCAGGGGTAGTTAGAAGGGCTGAAGGTAGTTAGAGGTAGTTAGTGTGAGAAGTAGAAAATGACTTGGAGGTAGTTAAAGATTGTTAGAGAGAATTGGAGGTAATTAGAGGTAATTAGTTAGAGTTCAAGATAGTTAGAATTAGTTAATCAGGTATTGTTTATGTTTCAATTGTTATTTTTTTAGAATCTCTCTCTCTCTCTCTCTCTCTCTCTCTCTCTCTCTCTCTCTCTGACAAACACGGTTCCTCAATAGATGGACCAAGGTGACAGTTCTCGAGTTTCAGGTCAAGAATGCCTCCATTACCTCATAAGTACCGTGACGTAGCAGGTAGTGAGCACCATGGTGTTCCCGCCACCTGTGTGTGACAGTGACGAAACACTCACCACCTCATGGTAGATGGATGAGTAATGACTAAATTTATAAGATATGCGACAATTTATTAATTTCATGGGTATGAAAAAAATTACTGAACATTTTATAAGTTGTGCATTAATTGATAAATCTCGTGTAGGTGTCATGGAAGCAGTGAAAAGTGAAAGTGGGTCCCATAGGCATGATTGCCCGTTAAGGACAGCACATACACTATATACTAAGCCTTCAGTACACCAGGAGGCAGCATGGCCGGTACTGTACTCGACCGCCTTCACTTCCCCAAGTTGTAAACTTAGGTACCCATTTACAGCTGGGTGAACTAGGAGTGCCCGGGAATCGAACCACCGACCCCTGGAACAGGAAGCGAGCGCTGTAATTGCCCACTTCTGCTGTTCTGCAGGTGTTGTGAGCTGATTATCTTTTACGTCAGGTAAAAGCCATATTAACTAACTAAGTAAAATATGTGTTGTCTCCCGCAGGTGTCACTGGCGCAGTACCAGGAGGACTTCGGGCTTGAGCGAACTAGTAACCCGGTGTCCATCAGTCAGCTGGAGGTGATGTGTGGCAAGGACCACCTCACCGTGCAGCTCGCCTTCACCGCTCCCTTCCAGGTCAGTCCTCCCTCATCTAGGTCCTCTGTCTTGCGTCGCCTTCCCCCCTCCTGTCTTGTGTCTAGATAATTCATGTAGATTTAGTGATTCAAATTTGAGTTAAGAAAAAACAATGTAATGTTTTGCGCTTGTCGATCTTCTTTTGTCATTTGGTTACGTAGACACTGACTCAAACCATCAACTAATCTCTAGTCTCGACGCTCATATATACCCCACAAACAACGTAGAAATGCCACTCACATCAAGTTTCGATCCCTGCCACTAACCAACATCCTGGAATAATCTACAAACACTAATCACACCCACAAACAAGATTTAAACTCAAACAACGTCATCAATATACATCCTCGTCACTTACTGTTTATGTAAGGAGATAGAGAAGAACACTAGCAGGCGGGAGTGTGGTGTCAGGGCTCCTGTACAACATCACGGGGTCAACAGACAGCGTAATGAGTATAGTTCTGTAAGGCTGCATGTAATGTTGTCATTCTTCTACTCCACGAAGGTTGACTGTGAGTGCTTCTCAGTGCCAAACACAATAGAACGACCCAGTGTCAAAAGTAGATGATAGTAATCTAGAATATTTAAGCCATCGTACCTATAAGGATTAAACTTGAGAACGCTGAATATGGAGACTCACCCTGCGGTCTCCCCTACACGGCCTGGTGTTATCCAAGGGACTATACATTGTTCTCCTTCACAGGGTCTGGTGTTCTCCAAGGGACAATACGGGGACCCGAACTGCATGTACGTGGAGCCTCACTCCGGAGGCACCCACTACGAGTTCCAGATCTACTACGACGGCTGCGGCACCAAACCAGACATGGGCGGCAAGTTCTACGAGAACACCATCATTGTGCAGTACGACGCCGACCTCATCGAAGTGAGTATACGACCGAGGAGTCTTACTAGTGTCTATGTTGTTTGTCTACACTCGTGGCTGTGTTGGCCGACGGAAACGCCTCACTTAACAGAGATATCAACATCGTCAACCTGTGTTAATGATATAAATTACCGGTAACTAAAACCATGTCAGATTTCACCTATTTATAGTCTTGGTATGAGTCAACTTAAAACATTCTTCTGTAATTCTTAGATTACCTTAGTGGTGATCTTACCTTGCCAGCGAAGATATAGTGCTTGGGTTCCTAAGTATAGTTCCCAGACTCCACTCTGTCTAAGTTGGTTGGCGAGAGGCAGGTCAAGTAGCTATAAAACTTGCTTCAAATTTACCTCATGGCAGCTAGGGCACCATGCCACCATGTAATCACGACTGACTTACACAAGAGAGGAAAATGGCCATAAAACGGTGATAATAATGATGACTTTACATAATAGTGGTCATGTTAAGAATTATCACAGGTATAGCATTTATTCCGTCGTGATACAGATGTGATAATTAACGTTCGTGTTTCAGGTGTGTGTCTGCCCTATAAAATGTAAACAAACCCACACACATTACAGGTGTTTTAATAGATGTTTATATTACAGGTGTGGGACGAGGCCAAGCGACTGAGGTGTGAGTGGTACAATGACTACGAGAAGACTGCCAGTAAACCTCCCATGAAGATCGCTGACTTAGAGGTTATTGAACTGAACTTCCGAGGTGAGGAACTATAACAACCACCTTTATAAAGTGATTATAGATCTACCCTCAAATTATAGACAACTTTAAAATTATATATAACTTAGATACTGTAATACCAACCCCTTTATAAAGTGGTCAGAAAAAACCCCTATATTTTTAATCATAGAGGTAAAAATTTAATAGAATCCGAACCCTTTCCTTATAAAGTAACGTGATAAGTTAGAGTAATAATAATAATAACTATATAACAGATATAATATAAGGCTAACCCTCTATAATAACTTAATCAATTATAGGTAAAAAAAAATTAGAAATACGTAACTCACTTTTATAATGACCTACCTGCTGGGGCACTAATGACCTACCTGCTGGGGGTGTTAATGACCTACCTGCTGGGGTGTTAATGACCTACCTGCTGGGGTGTTAATGACCTACCTGCTGGGGGTGTTAATGACCTACCTGCTGGGGTGTTGACCTACCTGCTGGGGTACTAATGACCTACCTGCTGGGGTGTTGTGACCCACCTGCTGGGGGTGTTAATGACCTACCTGCTGGGGTACTAATGACCTACCTGCTGGGGTGTTACCCACCTGCTGGGGTGTTAATGACCTACCTGCTGGGGTGTGTGTACCTGCTGGGGTGTTAATGACCTACCTGCTGGGGTGTTAATGACCTACCTGCTGGGGTGTGTGACCTACCACCTACCTGCTGGGGTGTTACCCCCTGACCTACCTGCTGGGGGTGTTAATGACCTACCTGCTGGGGTGGTGACCCACCTGCTGGGGTGTTAATGACCCACCTGCTGGGGCACTAATGACCTACCTGCTGTGGTGTTATGGCCTTCCTGCTGGGGTGTTACCTACCTGCTGGGGTGTGACCTACCTGCTGGGGTGTTAATGGTCTACCTGCTGGGGTGTTACCTGCTGGGGTGTGTGACCTACCTGCTGGGGTGTGTGACCTGCCTGCTGGGGTGTTGTGACCTACCTGCTGGGGTGTGTTAATGACCTACCTGCTGGGGGTGTTACCTACCTGCTGGGGGTGTTAATGACCCCCTGCTGGTTGTACCTGCTGGGGTGACCTACCTACCTGCTGGGGGTGTAATGACCCTGCTGGGGTACTAATGACCTACCTGCTGGGGTGTTGTGACCCACCTGCTGGGGTGTTAATGACCCACCTGCTGGGGTACCCTACCTGCTGGGGTGTGGCCCACCTGCTGGGGTGTTAATGACCTACCTGCTGGGGTGGGGTGTGTGACCTACCTGCTGTGTGGCCTACCTGCTGGGGTAATGCTGGGGACCCTACCTGCTGGGGTGTGGGCCCACCTGCTGGGGTACCTGCTACCTACCTGCTGGGGTGTTAATGACCCACTGCCTACCTGCCCTTCCTGCTGGGGTGTTGACCCACCTGCTGGGGTGTTAATGGTCTACCTGCTGGGGTGTTAACCTACCTGCTGGGACCCAGCCTACCTGCTGGGCCTACCTGCTGGGGCACCCACCTGCCACCCACCTGCTGGGGCACTAATGACCTACCTGCTGGGGCACTAATGACCTACCTGCTGGGGCACTAATGACCTACCTGCTGGGGCACTAATGACCTACCTGCTGGGGGTGTTTCAGGGGACAACGTGGACTGCTGGATGGAGATACAAGATGGCAAGGGGCCCTGGGCGTCACCCATCACTGGCATCGTCCCCTTGGGCTCTACCCTCACCATGGTCATAGCTATCAACGACCAGGCCGGTGAGTGTCTCTCTCTCTCTCTCTCTCTCTCTCTCCCCTTTTTAGATAGTCGTGAAAAATTAATAATATATATTTTTTTTCGTAAATTTTAGTCTGTGTAGTTTAGTTCCAACTCACCTTATGAAATAGATAGACGGGGTGGGGGGGTAATAATATTTCAAAGCATTAATTCTGTTATATTGTCGACACATGGGTGATAAATACACTTGTAACATGTGTCTCTGCCCGTATAACTTGTGGCCTTGCCCTTGTAATATGTGTTCCAGCCCTTGTAACACGTGTTCCTGACCTTGTAACACGTGTTCCTGACCTTGTAACACGTGTCCCTGCCCTTGTAACATGTAGTATCGTCTTTCAGGGGAGTTCGACATGCGGGTGACGTCATGCGAGGCTTCAGACGGCAGCAACTCGCCCATCTACCTCAGTGATCAACACGGGTGTGTCCTCCGCCCCAAGATGATCTCTAAATTTATGAAGCTCCGCAACAACGACGGCCGCGCCACCGTCCTCACTTACGCTCACTTCCACGCCTTCAAGTTCCCTGACTCCATGGCTGTCCATCTTCGCTGTAAAGTCGAAATTTGCCGCTTCGGTTGCCCGGATCACTGCCAGAAGCCCACTGCTGGTAACCCCATCGGTGACTACAACCAGCAGACTCTGCTACAGCAGCAACCCAGCGACTCGTATGGCTCCCCAGCAGAGCTCGTGCCTCGGTACGAGTCTCCTCCCAACAACGTTGGCGACTCTGGTTTCGGCGAGAAGAGTGTTAGTGAAGGTCGTCGACCTCGCCCTCTCCCGAACACCAACCTCGACTCAATGGTGATGAAGGATACGGTTCCCAAAGGGCCTCTCATCATTCCCAATGAACAGTTAGCTAAGATCTACCTCGACGGCTCACCACTCCAGGGCAAGGAAACCATCGAACTCCCTAACTTCAAGGAGGACTTCCCCTGGGGCCCGAGGAACCTCCGCCGTCGACGCCGTGAAGTGATCTTGGAGCGTCACACTCGTGCCTCCAACATCGGCGTTTCCACAGACTACCAGGTCATCTCTGAGGCTGACTTGGAGTTCACCCCCGCCATGGAAGACCGAGTCACTGTGTTTAAGGGCCACCGGGAGGAGGTAGTGTACGGGGTGTGTCTGCCCGCGCCTGGGTTCTCGGCACTGTTTGTGTTGCTGGCCATGTGTACTGTCATCTCTGTGCTAGTGGCCGGCTTCATGTGCCACCACCGACAGCTGCAGAAGGACACGGCTGAGTCCCCTGCCGCCCCACACCCGCACCAACAGGCCTTCAGTATGGTACAGTTCCTGCGGGGTCATCTCCCAGGTTATGCTCAATGATATGCTGGGACACAACTCAAGGACAATACAGCTCATATCTTGACTATCTCACAGCTCCAGGCATTCAGAGAGTCGCCATGACGACACAGCCAGGTCGCCATTTACTGTTTTAGGATTCAGACACCTTGTGTACTTAGAGGCATTAGTTAACTGCAGCAGAACGACCCACACAAAAGCTACACCACAAGGCTCCTGTTACATGATAGATGTCACCTTTAGAAAACGACGCACGGAATCACTAAAACATACTAGAAGTTGGAGTAACAAATTGTCAAAGATAATTTCGTATTTCCACACCCAGATGTTGTTTAGCTCTGAGCCAGACCTTTGAATTCTTGTTCTTGGTCCTTCACACCTTCGGGAGGAGGGCGCCTCAAGCACCTGCCGCTCCTCCCTGCGTCAGTGCAAGTATTGTATATAGTCTGTTTTCTACTCCTCTGCTGAGACTAGATGGGTCTTCCTCTTCTCTCTCGGTCTCTTATAGACATTCAGGTTTCACAAAAACAAAGAGTTTTTTTTTGCCAAATTACCAAAGGCTGTTATTGTTTATGAAATTAACACTGATGACCCATTTAGTCGTCAGACAAGTTGATCTGAGGCGGCGGAGGATGTCGCTGCTACTCCGATCACCTACTGTATTATAAGGATGTCATGGTAGCTCTTCAGTCGTTGTAGAGTGCCCACAGTGACGCCATGGGTTATCTACGGTGACGTCATAGTTGCCTGCGATGACGTCATGGGTTCCCCGCGGCGAATTTATGGTTATCCCCGGTGACATCATGGTTTATCCGCAGTGACGTCAACGGTTACCTGCGGTGATATCACAAGTTGCCGAGGTGTGGGGTGCTAGGGAACCAGGAAGGTCTTTGGGAACACACAGACACACAGACACTATTTACAGTAAATTGATGAGGCTAATTTGAGTGTTCCTTAAGTGTTCCCAAGTTGGTTAACACTTTTTCGAGACTTGTAAAACACTTGCCTGAACAAGGTCTCTCTCCATGCGGTTATTAGGTTCCAAGTAGGACCTTCCTCAGGCCAATTCATTGTATTTATCAAGTTAAGGAAGATATGATAATATTCCTGGCAGCGGGAGATTCTGTCTGTTGTCTAGACTGATAGGAGGCGTCGACAGTACCACAGAGGCCCGGATTCTCAAAGGTTCATTGCTAAATCTTTTCCCTTCACTAAGGTCCCTCGTACTCTAGAGGTTATGGTTCTCGTACTCTAGAGGTTAGGGTTCTCGTACTCTAGAGGTTAGGGTTCTCGTACTATAGAGGTTAGGGTTCTCGTACTATAGAAGTTAGGGCACTCGTACTCAAAAGGTTAGGGCCCTCGTACTCTAGAGGTTAGAGCCCTCGTACTCTAGAGGTTAGGGCACTCGTACTCAAGAGGTTAGGGTTCTCGTACTCAAGGAATTAAGACAGTAGAATACATCTGAGGGGTTCAGTTAAAGCCTCGATACACACAGATGGCGGCCGAACTGTTATGGGAGGTATTCCTAGCTACGACGTAACGATGGAAAGACATTTTTGATTCTTAGTGAGGGACAGAGTTGGATGGATCGAAGACAGCTGCTAAGGTGCTGTTGAAGGCTAGAAAAACGTCTCTCATTCTACCAGTCAGTTAGTCAGTCAAGCAGCCAAGAGAGGCGTTCGCAAAGTTGCTCAATACAGCTAATTTCAGTACTGTATAAATCATTGATAATGCGATTTAAATTGACGAACCTTTGAGAATCCAGATACAAGTAGATTTTGTAACACAGGTCTTCGATTGACTATTCCATTTACGGCAGACATTTTTATAAGGTTACTTTGGCCGATTAGATGACCTGCTCTTAGTCAGTTAAGGCGTGATAACTCTGAAATCTTGACTGAGGTTTGTTTACTCACCATGAAACGTCACAGACCAGGAGGAAGAGTGATTGTGTCGTGTCCGTCCTGAGTCAGGCTTGATACCCATAATGCCTGCTTTAACTCTACGATCCTTCCCAGAGTTGTTTTTGGGGGGGACCAGAACGCCAAGCTCAATTACCCCTAGAACTCGTTTTTATTTATGTTGCTCTGTGTGTGTCTACCTTTCTATCTGTTTTTGTCTCTCTCATGTTTCTCTCTTGTCTTTCCTTTCACACATTCTCTATATTATCTTCCCCCGCATTTATTCTCTCTTTCCGTATCGTCAACACAGGGCAGTAGGTCAGACCCCACACAAGACCACGATACACTACACCCGCCCTCCCACACTATACCTTCCTCCTTTAGTATTGCTACAGTTGTGTGTGAGGGCCTCTGTTAACCCAGGCTAGAGGTTAACTTACTGTGTGAGGACCTCTGTTAACCCAGGCTAGAGGTTAACTTATTGTGTGAGGGCCTCTGTTAACCCAGGCTAGAGGTTAACTTACTGTGTGAGGACCTCTGTTAACCCAGGCTAGAGGTTAACTTACTGTGTGAGGACCTCTGTTAACCCAAGCTAAATGTTATCTTACTGTGTGAGGGCCTCTGTTAACGCAGGCTAGAGGTTAACTTACTGTGTGAGGGCCTCTGTTAACGCAGGCTAGAGGTTAACTTACTACAAATCATAGTCGTGAATGGTAGTTTGCTGTATGTATGTATGGTTGTTGTTGTTGTTGTCGTGTGAGGGACGGGGAAGCGCATAGGGTCTCAGTTTACAATGTCTTTACTGTGTTAATATAGGTTATAAGGACCATTCAATGCCTCTCACTAATTTTCTTATTGTTAGTTTTTTATCTAGGCGGCGCATGCGTAACGAACCTAAAGTGTATTTATGTTCTAAAAATTATTTCGTCCGACATTAAGTTCTACAGTAACCAATCAGCTTTCGTCTATAGAGTCCAGTCTTCTTTTAATCAATCAGATGAGGCCTATTGGAGTCGTGTCGGACGTTCAGTTAATCAAAAGCTGTCTCGTAGAATTGGGTTGGGTTTCTTTTCTCTAGCTGTCCAATCACCTGCCTCCTTTAATACCTACACACTCATCACATCATCGTAAATAATGAAAGACCGTGAAATATTTCCCCTCCACTGAAGCTTAGAACTGTAGTGGACACGAGAGGAGGGTTGCCAATTTTCAGGTCTTAATAATTAGTCTGTATTTACGTAACTGTTTTTCATCATTCACTATTAAGTTTACTAACATATCTCCATCTTCATTTTAATGTTTACTAATGTATTTATTCATGTTATCATTTTATATATTCACCTACTCATTTATTTATTTATTTATTTATTTATTTGAATACTTATTTTATAATCGCTTGTGTTTGCTTCTCTCTTGACTTCTGAAATATTTTTGCAACTGTTGACTATCACCGAGTAACGTAACTAAATATTGTTATGTTTTATAGTTGTGTCAAATTCATCTTCATCACCCATGCTAAGTGTTATTTCTGAAGACTTAAATAAACAGTCCTTGAGTTATTTAATACTGTTATTGGAGCAGCGTTCGTGTAACACAAAACAAAAGCAGATACTCGGACAGTTTAACTCCTCAAAGATTAGACGTTCCGGTAAAAGATACTCGGTGATATGAGCTTCAGGAAGGCAAAAGTTGTGTAGGCTTCAGCTCATTTTCTTCAGAATTTGTGTGGAATTTTGTGTTATTACGCCATGACAGGACGATCGCCATGATGGTGGAGCGCATGCGCCAACACGGAGGCGAGGACACAGCGGTCTGGGCCAGCAGGGATTTTTTGCCTTAAACATTGTCAAATAATATGTATTTTTTTAGTAAGTTTTATATTCAATTAGTCATATCTTTGTTTAAAGTACTGATTGTTATATTTATAAGACCTCAACTACACCGAGAGATAACGGGATTCCCTGTTATTTAAAATTAATACATCATCTAGGAATAAATTTATCCACTTACAAAAGCCTCGTACAAAAATAGCTTTATTTGGATCAGTTGTGTAGTGTTATCATTATCTGGGCTGTCTACAGGACCTTGTGCTGGTCGTATAGTCCGCCCTCCTACCCCACGTTCACTCCTGCTAGTGAAGGAGTTACTCTGTTTTCAGTTGGCTTCTGACATTCAGCATAACGAGTCTTAGCTTCGAAATCAAGCTCATGATGATACAGTATTACAGAAGTATATAATGAGATACAGCCAATTACAGAACCTATATTGTTTTATTTGAAGGTACAGCCATACGGTGATTAAATAACACCCAACAATACAGGAGAGTTTTGTCCTGACTGTCACTCGGAATGTTGACATACTGCATCAGTGTCCAGCCGGTGTTGACAGCCCCCAGCAGGTCCAGCAGACAGCCGTATCCTCGCTGTACGTGTCCACGGCATTGTTACCCCCCCGCCTGGTCCCCCCAGAGCCCGGGACTCTCCACTTGTTTCTGTACTCACTCATACAACTAATATTTGTTAACTTAAAACTAATATAAATGTTTCGAATAAAAGAAGTTTGTATATTTATCCTTTGTTGATATTTTAAGGTGAAATTTGGAAACGTAAGAAGATTAAGAATACAACATCTAAATTTCGGTTTGAGAGGCAGAGTTGTGTGGAATTTAATAATAATAATAACAATGCTGTACATGTTGGTATTTAACGGAAAATATGAATTTGTTCATTAATAACATTAAAGGTTTCAAGTAGAACATAATAATGAAGTCATGATGAATTAATTATTTTACTTGAAGAAATTTTCTCGCGGCTTGACTGGTACAAACGATAATTACTTCAAAGATGGCAAGTAGCTTTTATATTTAATAGTTTACTACTTGTGCTATTTAAAAGCAGACGTCTCAACTAATTAACCTAACCTATCATCATAATTTAATATAATATAACAAAGATTACCTTAACCTAATATAGCTAAATGTAATCAAATATTATCATGATTAAACCAAACTTAACTTTTCCTGACGTACCATAACAAAACTACATCTCATAATTTATATTCATGTATCTTTTGTGTTGATTACGTCTGCTTTCTACTGCTTCGAACGCCTCACATCCTCGAAGCAGTTGTATTGACTGGTCGAACATCAGCTGGACCAATCTTTGAATCAATCAGCGCCTTGTGTGGCCTATACGAACATAGACGTGGCAAGGAGAGGACTCTTGTGCTTTAACCAATTTGTCCTTCTCATATGATTTGTCAAGTAGAGATGTACTGTATCTAGTCCATGTGTTAACCTCGATACATAAATAGACAGCCAAACGTACAGGGTCAATCAATGCTTTATAAATGTCTACGGGGGCGAGAACTGGGCATACGTCGCCAGGTTGTCTTTGAGATGAAGTGAGAGTCTCCTATCCTGCTTATTCCAAGCTTTGTGTTGTCAAGGTTTATTATTGTGGACTATTAAAAGTACACTCTTGGATCTAGTGGGGTATTAATAACTTAGGAAAGATGAGAAATGCGATAATTTATTCAGTTTTATTATAAATATTGTTTAGGCTTGTAGTACACTATAACTGACGGTATTATAATTAGTCCCAAAGCTGCTGCCATATATAATAAATAGTTATACCATATCACTACACGATACAAAATAAATTATACAATAAATTAATAACTAAGACATACTACCAACTACTTAACAATACACTGCCAATTATACTGACAAATATTACAGTAAATGTAACAATAAACAGGAATCTTTTGTGGAACAAGTTAACTCTAATTATATACGTTAATACGAAATTAGTTATAAAATGAGGATATATTAGAATATAAAACTTGCTATAAAATTAATTGTACATAATGGTTATATTAGAATGTCATTTAATTTGCTATAGTGTTTTTTTATAGACATTAATGGCACTGTTGAATTACTTGTACTGTACTTGGTGGATATACTTAGAGCTATATAAACTATTAGGTAGAAATTACAGGGATAACCATTTCAATCAACTCTCAGGTGGGGAAGTGGTGGGTCAGGTGGGCTAGTGGTGGTGGGTTCACAATGGAATTCAATAAAGTGGGCCAGAAGTATTAGCTTTGATATGGAGGTGGGTTCTGATGCACTGGGGTGGGTTCTGGTGTACTGGGGTGGGTTCTGATGCACTTGGTTGGGTACTGGTGCGCTGGGGTGGGTTCTAATGCACTTGGGTGAGTTCTAATGCTTTTGGGTGGGTTCTGATGCGCTGGGGTGGGTCCTGGTACACTGGGGTGGGTTCTGATACTCTAGGGTGGTTCTGATGCACTGGGTGAGTGGGTTGGGGTGGGTGGTGCACTGGGGTGGGTTCTGATGCGCTGGGGTGGGTCCTGGTACACTGGGGTGGGTTCTGATACTCTAGGGTGGGTTGTGAAGCGCTGGTACCTCTAGGCGCTGCAGAAACCACAAGAGAAGCGGCATCTGCTGCTCATGTAGTCGGGGCGTTTGACACACTCGCCGCGGCCCGCCCACCACCCACAGTCCTTGTGTTTGTCCACACACACCACCCGCCCTGCAGAACATGAAATAAAAAGAGGTCATAACAAAGGTCACAGAGGTTGCAACACAGGTCACAACGGTAATGGATCATACAGTAGCACAGGTGATCATATTAACAAAGGTTACAGCATTGATGAAGGGCTGCCATATCTCATCAGTACAAATATCGTTAATGTTATAACGTATTACGGCACTTCAGCAATTAAGGTCTTTAAACGCGTAACGAGGTTAGTATTTACATTTGTCTCAACAATAATAAATTATAAGAGATGACGTGATGTAAACAAAGAGTGACGTCACTGATACCCTCCACTATCGTAGCCTATTTGTAACATGACTTTCGCTGTTACTGCCATTAGTGTTTGCTAACTACGTATATATACTATAAATATGTTACTCTAATTATCAGTAACACGATAGGATAGAAAATAAACTTCATGAATATTGAATGTAGAATTTAGAGAAAAAAATGAGTCGTACGATTGTTTGAAAATTTAACTCCGGTTTAGCTCAGAGACGTGACTCACCAGGGCAAGTCCCGCAAGATTTCTTGCAGGTGGTAGAGACGAAGGCGCTGCTGGTACACCTGCCCTTCTGGGCCCAGTTCCAACACAACTTGTGGTTGTCGACGCATTCCTGAGGCCTTGGCTTAGGAGTGGGAGCGGGCTTGGGAGCGGGCGTGGGGGCCGGTGTTGATGTAGTTGTTGGTAGGGGCTGGACACGTTCACACTGATACAGGCGATTGACGCGCTCAATGTCTGTCTGTGTGATAATAATAATAATAATAACTAACAACAATAACAACAATAATAACAATAAGTTAATAGTAATAATATTACTAATCCACGAGAGAAGACCTTACAACTCACCTGAGAGAGGCCTTGGTGGTGACTGAAGATGACCCCGGGTACTCGTGGGATAAGGGTGGGCAGGGCGGGGTTGAGGGCGAAGGCGTGGGGGTGGTAGTGCATGACGGAGGAGAAGTCATATGCCAGATCCAGGTCGCTCGTCGCCCAGCTGGACTTCTGTGTGGGTATAACAACGAGGTCATCCAACGTGAACAAATGATAATATAATTGATCTATGGATTAAGCTCCGCCCTCTAAGCATCCGTTATTATCCCGAGAAGGTGATTGGTTGATGGTTATATTGAGCTCCGACGCTACACCAGGGAATTTTCTGTAATTTTTTTTAGTTTTTATTTAATGGGACGGATTTTTTATTTGAAAACTAATGAAACCAGACAATTCAAAACATAGGAAGTTCTTAGACCGCGTTAATGTATCGGGAACAACCAAGATACTGTAAATCATAAAACCAAACCTCAGTACATTTATCTAGCGACGCCACGAAGACCTTTAACGACTCACCTTATGAAAGTTGAACTTCTCACTAGGCAGGATGTTGTTCCAGTTAACATCCACGTACAGGTCACGGTCAGGACGTGCATGTTCGTGCCAGAAACCCAGGGCGTGCAGGAACTCGTGCAGGACAGTGTTGTGGTCCCCGCAGCCTACACCCAGAGACACCACCTGCACGCCTCCCTTCCGTCCCACCGAGCTGGAACACCTTCAAGGAAAAGTCCCAAATCCATAATTAACAAATTCACGGATTTTCAACGTTGTTTACAGATCATGTTGTTGCAGATTTAACAGAAAAAAATATTAATGACCAGCATGAACAGTAATTATAGCAACAGGAGTAGAAATCGTAGTAGTAGTGGATGTAGATGTATTACTAATGAATAAAATATATAGAGTGCCGAACTGTATAGTAAAGAGCACTAATCATGGAAAACTATCCAGGAGGAAGGGAAGACTCACCCCCGGCCGCTGAGGATGTGGATGTAGTGGTGGTGGTGGGATGCTCGCGGGATGAACCGTACACAGGTCCGTTTGTGCAGCTCCGCCACGGCCCCAGCTATCACCTCTCTCTCCCAGTTCGCTGTGGACATCCAGAAGAAAACTTTTTTTAGACAACAGAAAACGTCATAATGCTAGAGAATACAATTGGTTACTGAGAAACCAACACGGAAAAAAATATGGACATGGATTCTGGACAAGGATTCGTACAGAAATTGTAGTTTTTAACTAATTGGAAAAAACCCACATCTAGTTACCCTATTGATGGCATTTTGACCACAGGATCTTAGTCATATAATCAACCGAGACATTTAGTAACAGTTTAATATTCATAAACAAGCCATTGAGAATCTTATCCGTTTGGGAAATAATGGCATAAATATCGAAATATCCTTAGTTAAAAATACTAACCTGCATTCCTTATCATCTTACAACATATTAATGTAAGGTTATTCGTTTTGGAATTTCCTTAATGAATATTCAATCTTTAAATACATTCACGTCATCGATACCAGAACACTTACAGAATGAGGCGGAAATTACGTAGGGCACGACGCCATGAGTCCACTTCAGCTGCAAGTTGTTGACAGCGCTGGCCTGGGCGTCTGTTGACTCCTGGTGGTGGAGCGCAGATTTACAGAACTTTAGTAAAAATGGAAGTTTATTCATGTTTATATGGTTTCTATTTCATTTAGAAAAGAATGAGCTAATACTATCTACTAACATTATCGCTATTATGAATTTTTGGAATCAAGTTACGACAAATACTAATTTAAAATATCATAGTGTGAGCATGGTAACCGAGCCTTTTCTAACCAAATCTATCCATAACAATATACTGTAACACTAGCTTATTCTTTACATTGGTATCTATTTCTACCTGTTATTGTTATTAGATACTAACTTACGGGTACTCTGAGTTACCCTAGCCTGTCGTAGTCCTACCCACGCATAAATACTGTTTATAGTCCTTGACCTCCCTATCCTGATATACCAAACCTAAATCACCGGAACTAAATCTTTTCACTAATATACTGTACTATACATACTGTAATGAATTTTCTCTGACTTTCTGTGTTTAGTTGTGTACAATGCTTAGTGTCTTAATTCGTCTAATTTACCGTAGTTCTTTATCACACTTTGTACTTGTCTTAGTGAGAACCCGCTGTACCAGGTGCGTGTATGCCCGACATTGAAAGAGTTGTAATATTAAGCTGTAGGTGAGTGGACGCATGGGAGACGGGAAGGGAATTTAATATGCGAAAAGCGTAAGAAATGAAGAAAGTGAACGACAATGACCTTCAGTTAAAGGGAACTTCCTACTTTCACAGAGTAAGAGTTACGCGGTTTGAGACTGGGTTTGTTAGGACGGAGATTGAAGGGTTTACACATACTCTGATGACGTAGGTCTACTTAGGCATCACAATAATCGAAAAATCCAAATATGGAATCAAGAATCTCGGTCTTATACCTGTATTATCTGATAGAGGTGATCCTCGGAGGGCAGGACGATGTCACCTTGGTAAAAGCCTGAAGTAGTGGTTGGGTCATGGAGTCTGGCTGATTCATCATTTTTGGGTTTCGAGTTTTCAGCTGCTTGTATCTCCTTCTGGGAGAGTGGCGGAGCTAGCAGGTCGCTAGTTGGCTGTATAATATATTCACAGAGCTTTAGTTGACATTATATTATCCGAAGAAGATATTCGCCACATTTCTTTAACTTTAAACATCACAGTATAGAATACCTTTGTTGGGGATGAAATATTGTTGGGGGCAAGTCGTTATTGTCGTTAAAGAAAACGTTTGCCTATGGAAGAATAACCCTACAAATTTCCTGGGCAGGCCATTATGGATACAATACCTTACAAATATGAATTGAAGTGAATTAAAAATTAATGCAGGGATGGCTATTAGTATTTTGCATTACACAGAGCTGTTATGTTTATTTATAAAAAAAAAACAAAGTTAATAAAACTACTCATATCACCAGAAAGCTCCTCTCGATCACAAGGTCCAACCCAGCGTGTAAAAAAGAGGTTACAACTCACATCATTAGGCTCACCGATGATCACGTTAGGAAGTTGTAGCTGCGCGACAGTGAGGCGGGTAACGCACGCTACCACCAGGATACATAAGGTCCTTCTCACTGCCCCTGTTTCCATCTGCATCCAACCGACGACGCTGAAAGTTTGTTGCCTCAGATTGATATTAAAGCTTCGATGCAGCTGTCAGTCTTTGTGGGTGATGACACTTTCTGTCTCCTGCAGTGGCCTGTTTAGTTTCCAGTAATATTCAATAACGGCAAAGTGCCTTTTCTCCGTTGTCGATACTTCAGTTCAGCTTTCGGTGACGTATGATGACAAAGCTTTTTTGTATCTGTAGCTGTACTAGGTCCTCTGTCTCCACAGGGTCAAGCGCTGTGCTTTCAGGTACCGGTGGCTTATGACTGACTGAGGAGCTCGGCAGCTGGCAGAGTATTAATACCCGCGCTATTGGAGTAATTCGGGGAAAGTATACTTGTGGCGTGATGAGTTCGGCCCCTACATCAAACAGTTGGTATAGCCAAGGTGAGGCGGAGCAAAGGCGAGGCGGGGCAAAGGGAAGGCGGGGCACAGGGGGAAGCCACACCTCATTTCACTACATATTTTCACAAAGGGTCATCCGCGTCTTACATAACGCTTACACACTACGCTACTCGACGGTGTCATAATAGGATTTTACGTTGAAATGCTTGGAATAACACTTCCTCTGGCCTCCGATTTTCAAAACTTCGCTATTTTGTGCTATTCCGTCATGGGTTATATCAGAAGGCATCTCTTGCTCACTTATGACGACCACACCAAGACTACGACCACACCAAGACGACGACCACACCAAGACTACGACCACACCAAGACTACGACCACACCAAGACGACGACCACACCAAGACTACGATCACACCAAGACGACGACCACACCAAGACAACGACCACACCAAGACGACGACCAATATAGCATCGAGATTTAACTATACTGTACCAAAATATTTTAGCCTTCAATAAACAAATGATCACCTTAAGATTAATCCCCAGCTTATATCACCTTAAGATTAATCCCCAGCTTATATCACCTTAAGATTAGTCCCCAGCTTATATCACCTTAAGATTAATCCCCAGCTTATATCACCTTAAGATTAATCCCCAGCTTATATCACCTTAAGATTAGTCCCCAGCTTATATCACCTTAAGATTAATCCCCAGCTTATAATCTAAAGATTAATCCCCAGCTTATCACTTTAAGATTAATCCCCAGCTTATCAATTTTAAGACAATCAGCTTATATCACCTTAAGATTAATCCCCGGCTTATATCACCTTAAGATTAATCCCTGTTTATATCACCTAAGATTAACTCAGTTTATATCACCTTAAGAAGATTAGTCCCCAGCCAAATACCTAGATTAGTCCCTCAGCTTATATCACCCAAGATTAACTTCAAATATATCACCTTAAGAGGTCCCCAGCTTATATCACCCAAGATTAGTCCTCAGCTTATATCACTCCAAGATTACTCCTCTCTGGCTTATATCACCTTAAGATTGATTCCAGCTTATATCACATTAAGATTAACTTCAGCTTATATCACCTTAAGATTAGTCCCCAGCTTATATCACCTTAAGGATTAGTCCTCAGCTTATATCACCTTAAGATTAGTCCCCAGCTTATAACAATTAAGATTAGTCCCTGTAGCTTATATCACCAAGATTAATCCCCAGCTTATATTGCACTTAAGATTAATCCCAGCTGGCATCGTTCTAAGATTAGTCCCCAGCTTATATCACCTTAAGATTAGTCCTCAGCTTATATCACCTTAAGATTAACTCTCAGCTTATATCACCCAAGGTTAATCCTCAGCTTATATCACCTTAAGATTAATCCTCAGCTTATCACCTAAGATTAGTCCCCAGCTTATATCACCCAGATTAGTCCCCAGCTTATATCACCTTAAGATTAGTCTCAGCTTATACTTCACCAAAGATTTTTATCCCCAGCTTATATCACCCAAGATTAATCCCCAGCTTATATCACCCCCAGCTTATATCACCTTAAGATTAGTCCCCAGCTTATATCAC